GTAAATTGTCCAGCATGTGGTGCATGGTGGCAGCCTTTGAAGTGCATGTCTATTTACTTTCAAAAATACATTGATTCTAACTGAATCAGTTCTGATTCTGAGATCAGAGTTTTGCCAAAGGAAACACCTTTTGGCTATAACTAGAGAAAACCCATCCTTAACATATATAGCATGTTAAAACCCTTAATCTTTATATAAGCCTCTAGCCGCACACTGGAATTTATGGATATAGATCACAGATGTTTCTCTTTCAAATCTTGGACGTTACTGATGTTCTAGTGAATATTTCAAGTGATTCTTTTCTGTGGGTCCAGTTGATAAAGAGGGCATTGCTGTCTTCCAGAAAAAGAGAAGCTTAACGAGCGCACCGCAGAACGACGAAATCGCATAGCAATTAGGTTTTAGCTATCACAAATGCGATTGCATACCGATGGCCCCTATGGGCAAAAATCGCTTTGCGAAGATCAGTAAGCGTTTCGCTTACCGATCTTTGCAAAGCGATGCCGCGGATCAGCTGTTCGGCGGCTCCAAAATGGCTACCAGAAGCCTCAAAATGGCTACACGCAGCGTTTTCGCACCCTCCCCTTGCTTACTGAGGGTGCGAAAATGGCTGCCGCAATGGAGCAACCGCACTGAACGGTGAGTTTTGCGGCCTATTGGAACACATTAAACTAAGTTTAATGCGTTCCAATAGGCTTTTACGTTCCGTACAGCGATGTTTCGCCATAGCGAAGGTTAATCTGGAACGGATTAACCTCGCTATGCGAGGCACCACTGTATTTCTATCTAAGAAGCTTAACCTGGCCTCACAATGGCCATGAGACTGTGTGACTTTAATAAAAGCACATAATTTTCAAACTACCCATGAGATGTTGGTGCCCAGCTTGAAGAAGATGAATTATCATCAAAAGCTCCCTCTTTTTGCTTCTTCATGATCTAATAAAGGTATCACCTGTTGCTGCATTTATATACTTTTCATTACAGGAACTGAGGAAGCATTGTTCCCAATCAGCCATGAATATATTTCAGCACTGCGGTGCCCTTGGCTGTTTCACTGATCTAAAGATTTGTATTAATACTGAAGGTGAAACAGTGACGTATGAGTACAAAATCACAGGATTTACTCGCTGTAGGGCCAAAAAGAGAACAGTATTGAAAATGTGTATTCTTTTGTCTTACTGATGTCCAAGAGTGTAAGGTACCTTAAATTAAGTTTTGATGATCAGTTTTATTTTCTACATATATTCCATTTTCATTTTCTTTTTGCTGCCCCACTCTTTTGACATTTCTTCTTAGGTTAAGCTAGACGACAAGGGAATTTGCTATTCCCTGCAAATACTTCAACAAACAAGACCTGCAAAATACACCCATTTCTACTGACCAACGGTGGTGTTTGCCCCTAGTTATCCTTGGTTATCTTCCAACCACTGAGCACATGAAGGCAAACCAAACTCCTCCACACGCTGCCACCAGTTGATCACTAAATCAACATACTTTTCTAAAGAAAGATGCAGGTCTGTTCGTCACTGTCTTTTAAATAAAACAGGTTTATTGATTACAGATTGTGAGCAAGGAGTCAACAGTGTGCTGTCCTCCAAGGCGTCTGCTCCAGTTGAGTAGAAGGGGTGCTAGTAAAGATTGAACAGGAAGAGAAAACAGAGAGACAGGCACTGGAGGTTTGCCTAGCAGATGACGAGGGGGAGGAGCGGGATTTGATTGCCTGGGAGGAGGTCTTAAATGTGGGGGAAACTGCACGGGCTTTTCAGATAACGGTTGAACCGGCTGGGGAGAGAAAAGAAAAAGCAGTTCAGACCGATCCAGAAGGAGAACACGGAGACCTGTCAGGACTATTAAAGGAGTTCCCTAATCTTCACACTGGAGGAGGTCTGCTGCCAGATCCTGTGGGGGACAATGCTATGAAAGGTGAACTTGAACCGTTAGAATGGACGGTGGTCGTCTACCCATGCAACCAGCGTGGAGGACCGAGGGTGATTTGTCCCAGTCCCTCTTTACTACAACAACCACGCGAGGGGAACTGGGCGAGACATCCCTGTTGTGGGACGATCTGCGTGTTCAGGACCACCCCTTTGAGGCCGATGACGGATCGCGAGCAGTTTGGGTAAGCCCCAACGTAAGAAGCGATTGGACAACGCCAGAAATAAGAGTTCGAAGTTATAAGGTTCTCCCAGAGTTGAGTTTGATAGACCCATTTGAAGCTATAGAACAGGAAGTGTTGAACAACAAAAAGGAATCTGTTAGAGTTTTAAGTCAGCCTCCGTCCCTCATTTCTGCGCCTACTGGGGGGCCACCCATGGCGAGAGATGGACCCGTTCACACAAATGTTTTGATAATAATTCATATGTATCTTCTTCAGGTTTCTAAATCGTCAATAACAATCTTCTATTTGATCTTACAGTTACTATACACTCTTCTGACTAATCACACCCCAGATCTCCCAAATCTCTCTATCTCTCCTGACTCCACACTCTGACTCTCTCTCTTCTCTCCACTCAGACTCTGACTGCCTCTTCACTCTCAGGCTCTGCCTCGTTATCTCTCTCTCTGCTCCGCCTCTCAACAACATTAGCCTACAACAAGAACAATACATGACTATTTAACATAACAAGGGTGAACGCCACCCCAACCACAAAAGAAAGCACATTAAATGTAAAATATGGAGATGACAGAAATCATATGCTACGACAAACATATATGTCTTTTGAGGGAGCACATCTTCTAAAAAGTGCTACATCTATGGTCTACCTTGACCCTAAGTAGTTCTATTTTGCAGTTTCCCTTCCTTGATGGCTGCTTAACAGACTTTCAAAGCAAACCTCCTACCCACCAACTAACATTTCCAAGAGGTTGGGAACAGAGGGGGAATATTCTGGATCTGGTGGCCATTTTGGAGGGCAAAGAAAGAAAAGTCCAAAGTATAAAAGCGAAATGTCTTTGTTTTGTGTTTCTCCGTGTACTCTTGTGATTATTATCCTCTCTTCAGTTTTCTGAATTAAAAAAAAAAACTCTCTAGAAACAGACAAAGGTATCATTTCACCTTTGTTCGCAATTGTGAAAACGCTAAAAATAATTTGAAAACAGATCAGAGCTGTCTGGATTTTTTTAAGTGCTCAGGCCTCCTTTATGCAGAACTGGGTGTTTAATGTCCAGTCTCAAGAAACATTTGACCACACATTTATCTCAAATGAAAGAATACTAAACTAAACCCATGTCCCCTCCTTGCATCTCTGCATCACAGACAAGACAAACGTGAGAAGTTGTATTACATTCCATGGAAATGGCTAGGGTGACACTGACTTTGGAGAATCTGATGCTGAAGATCCAGTTTCCCTTACTGGGGCTCCAAGACTTCAAGGTCCATATGATAATTCTGCTAGGAATCAAAACCCTGGATATAGCAGCTGAATGACCTTTGTACCCAAATACTGTGGGAGCTGGAATTAAAGGGGGAACCCTTTGGAAAGGAAAAGGCTTTAAAAGGAAAGACAAGGAAATCAGATTTGAAAGTCTTAAAAATACCCACTGCCATGCAAAGAGCATTTGAGATGAAGTAGGAGGGGGTGAGATGGAAGTAAAGACATGTAAGTCTGGATGGAATACCACATAAAGTACGTAATTCATTCATTATAAAGTTTCACTAAGACATTATGCCCTCTTGCCTAAAAATAAGTCACATTGAATTCATGAGTCTAACTTCAAAGCAGACACGTATTGCATTTCACTGTCAAACATCATTTTTCCCTTTTTACCCTATGTAAGTAGCAGAAAAAACAGTTTACTGCTGAATTTCTAAAAGGAAACCTACTTTCAAGGTAAAATGCACAGTACTGAACTTCAGATTTATTTTTTGAGCAGATAGTTGGCTCCAAATTCCAATGAAAGAGCAACATTCATTGGTTTAAAGAGCAGAGCAACACAACAGGATAGAGGAAACCTCTAATGACTCCTTTTTTCACCAGTTAACCATTTCTCCCCCAAACAGAAAGCAACGATTAGGGTTGTTTTTTGACAAATGAGAGTGCTAGTGAGCACAAGGAGGTATCTTGTAGACCAGGGGTCTCCAAACATTTCAGTGTGAGGGCCACATCATGTATTTTCCACATTTTCGAGGGCCGAAGGAACACACACGTGCACGTACTCCTGCCTGCCCTACACATGCCCGCCCACATGCCCGCCCACATGCCCTCCCGTCCATGCGCCGGGCTGAAGGAAACAGACCTGAGTCTGCTGGATAAAAAGGTAAGGCACGCCGGATGTGGCCTGCAGGCTGTAGACCATCTTTACTGCTGCCATTTGATGTTATCAACATTCAGACTGCCCTTTGTTATGTAAAGCGAGGTATCCTTTTTCCTGCTGCCAACATGGGCATGATATGGTGCAGCAATATTGAGCCAGTTCCTTGCATCTTGAGTACAGAAGCACAATATCCCACATTCACAAACCAGAGGTTTTTTGCAGAATAGTGTCTGGATTACACTTCTTCACACTTTGCATAGGAAGCAATCTGAACATCTCACTGGCATTGCTCAACAGCAGATCATCCCATCTTTTTCTTTTTTTTTTAAGAGTCAAGTCATAGAAATGTACCTGTGTGGTAAAGATGTATGTTGCATATATGTAGGCCATGTTTGCTAAATCGGTTGCATTATTGTTTGCCACATGTTCAGATTGTACATGGTTGACTGCCAAAGTGGGTTGAAATGTATGTTGGCAGACACAGAATCAATCAGAAGACCACACCTCCAACTGTCTTGATGCATTTCATGGCATGCACATGGAATGAATGATGTTCCAAACTGGTCCCTGAACTGACTTCCCTTCCCCACCCCACCCCACCCCATCGAAGCTGGATTACACGTGTATGTCTCAGTGAATCAATAAGGAGAAAGTGTGATTAACACCACTTTTTTCTCATCTACGTAAACTTGTATTTCTCTCCACAAATACCTGTTAAGGTAGATGCTATAGCCTCTTACTCTTACCCCCAATACTTGACATCCTTGAAGAATCTTGAGGACTGCTGGATTTGTTACGATTCTGATTTTTCTTTTTATTGTTGGCAGCTCGGACAGACCGAAGAAGTACTTCGCTTGCTTTGAAGAAGGCAACCATGAAGGGCTGTTTTGACTGAGGCCCATGTCTTCCTATAAGACCTGCTGATTTCACATTGATGCTGCGACCTGCAAAACAAGCCACAACACAAAATCAGTTACGCTTATCAATGGTATCACAATATTTAGAAGGGTTAACTTTGTGGACCGTAATGTGACTTATCTGTTTTGCATATTGTACAACAGTAGGCCAAAGAATATTACCTTGCTAGAACTCTGCCTCCTAGCAAAGGTTAAAACTTTCCAAATCCACAAATCCTCTTAGTTTTAGAAAACAAAAAGGGTTCACGTGGAATCTTATACATTCAACAAAAATTAACAGTTATGAGAAATGGAGGCAGTTTATGTATTTATGCTTCAAGTCATAAATAATTTCAAAACATTCTCAAATTTCACCAATGGTCTTAAGCACAGGTATCACCAAAGCTTCAGTCTTTCAAGGAATAATATATAAGATGTTGAATTATGACCATGATTGACTCTGGTTTAACTCCTGAGAGATGTACATATTTCTTTATAATGTTTGTTCAGTCGGGACTAGGTAGTAAAAAAGTAAAGGTAAAGTTCCCATTAACAAATATTCAGTCATGTCCGACTCTAGGAGGAGGTGCTCATCCCCGTTTCCAAGCCAGCGTTTGTCCATAGACAGTTTCCATGATCATGGGGCCAGCATGACTAGATATGGAACGCCGTTACCTTCCCACTGTGGTGGTACCTATTTATCTACTCGCATTTGCATTCTTTCAAACTGCTAGGTAGGCAGGAGCAGGGACAAGCGACGGGAGCTCCGTCACGTGGATTCGATCTTATGACTATTATGAATTATGACCACGATTGACTCTGGTTTAACTCCTGAGGGATGTACATATTTCTTTATAATATTTGTTCAGTCGGGACTAGGTAGTAACTTCACTCAGTTATAACTTTGACCCTCCAATGCTATAGAAGGAAGGAATCGGGTATCAGATGAAAGGATTGAAAAAAGGAAAAACAAGTAATTGAAGTGGTACCCATATGAATTTCCAACAAATAAGCCCCCCCTGCTTAGCAGAATGTATTCTGTCAGCTCAAGCACTTTTGGGCCACCACCTATTGCGCAGAATCCTTCAGCCTGCCAACATCTGAGCCAGTGTCATGTGAAGCTATGCAGCTGTACAAAAGACCCAGATCCAGCTCCTTTAAGTAGTAAAACATTGATAAAGACATTTTGAACTGTGCTGGTCTCGGTATGGGAGGGAAGTACAGTAGGAACGGAGTTCCTTGGCTTCGTTGTTCTGTAACAAACCTGAAATGGTTAAAATCCTGTCACAAAAAAATGCATCTGCCTTGCAAATGGATCAGGCTCCCGAATGCAACCTCACTAGAGAAAGAACATACTAATAATCATAGGGGGAAGCCTTAAACAAATAAGCAGATAGGCTTCCCTTTTAAAGGGAAACTTACAGTGGCTCTCTGCCAGGGTCTATATTTCTTAGAAAAACTTCTATCATTGGCGTAAATGAAAGAGGCAGTTTGATTTGTGGTCAAAGCAGTTTCCATTCTACTTCCACTGTAACAAATGTATTAATTCAGCTCAGACTTCCTCCTCCTGGCAGCCTCTCTTGCAGTAAAAAAGAGAAATTAGAAGTCGCAGCCAAATACCGTACCTTGAACTGACCCACTTCGATACATAAACACTTTTACAACATGTTTATTCAGGTGTAGCACTTTAAATTGGTTTAAGATGTTTCCAGTGACAGAGAACCCAGCAAAGACGAAAAAAGAAGAACTGAGAAAGTTAAGCATTCCAGGAGCAGAATAAGTGGTCACATATACTCGAAGAAAAAAAAACTTGTAATAATTGTTGCTTTTGGGGAATGGATGGAGGGTTTGGAAATTATGAAAAGGAATATATATTTGCTGCAGCTCCTAATTTCCCTTTTGGACTTTCCAAGAAACTCGGACATTTATTCAGAGATGGTGAAAGTTGGCTTCTTTGGATTACAAGGCCCAGAATCCCCTGATCAACATATCACAACTGGAAATCATGATTTTCCAAGTTTATCTTCATTTTCTACTAATCATCTTTCTGTGGAGGTGGTTTTTTTGTTTGTTTGTTTGGCTGGTTGGTTGATTGTTTTGAGGCAGAGGGATAGAATACATAGTGTGAGTATTACTACATTCTAAACTCTGCACACTAGCCGGAGTCGAATATTTAGAACTTCCTTTTTCTTGCTAGTTTGCCTTTTTCTTTCTTTAAAAGAAGTAATTTCCTTTCCATTCCTTTTAGTAAGAAGAGAAGTAGCGATTCCTGCTCCAGAGTTGGTATATTTTTTTTTCCTCCAACCCTGAAATAACACCAGAGTGACCCCTCTTTTGACTTTCCACTGTATTTGTAGCAATAGTGATACACCCACAGTAATTAAGCTTCCTGCCATAGGCAGCTGATGACTGGAGCAAGGTGTGGACACCTCTTCATGTTTTTACGTTCTGGTGAACATTCACAAAACAAAGCATGTTAAATGCAAGATTCATAAGTGAGGAAAATTATGTCTGTGAAACACAGGGTAAACACTTTGGCTTGACATTTACTGCAAAATGTTTCAGGAGACCCATCAGATGTATCTTAGAGTGTGTTTAGATGGACAGATTGTTCTAGGCTCTATCAGGCTAAACAAGGTCACCCTGAACTACAATATGTTGATCCTTGCATCCACATGCAAGGATTACGTGGTCTTGGGGCAGGAAACCACACTGCACCTCAAGTAACCCTATTTAGACCTTTGCTTCATTTAAAGAAAAGAAGAAAAAAACTGGAAAAAATTACAAGAAGATGCCCCTCCATGTGCCCTTCTGTCTCCCCCTCCATGAGAGAGAAAGGGAAAGCTACAAATATTGTTTATTATTTATTTCAAAGTGGAATTGCACTGAAATGACTTGCCATTCAACCAATTCAGCAGTAAATTACAAGGGATTTTGAAAACAACCTCCACATCCTCTTCTGTCTCCTCTGCTTGAGGAACGGGAGGAAGCTTTCATTTTCTTAAGTTAGGTCCTGCAGTAGCTTAAGCAAAATGACAGCTAAGCCACCCACTTTGGTTTGATACCAGTCATCATACACGATGGAACCGAACCAAAATGGAGCAGTCCAACCAACACTAAAAAAAAAAAAAGTAGCCTTACAGGGATCCAAAAAATTATGGTTGGGCATGGGTAAGGGCCAGCCTGGTTTGTGACTGCCATGTTGCCATGTGGTCACTGGAATAAGGAGCAAATCAGCTGTTCCCAAAGTGGACCAAACTGCAGGACAAAGTGCCATCAGATCACACCCTTAGGTTTACACATCAAAGACTACAACTGCATTCTCTGAATTTACAAAAGTGCATATTGTGTGAGAAATGAAAAGAATATTATAAACACCAGCTCCCTTTAAAATTATGTTTATTATCATTACGTTTCCTCTTGGTTTCCTTCAGACTTCAGCAATGGGATAGTTATTAAGATCTCACAATTCAATGTTTACTTAAGTCTTCAAGATATACAGAGATACCCTTAAAATTAGTCTTAAGTTCAAATACCCTTTAAAGAGAGAAACAGTTTATGTGACTCTCTATCTTCTGTTTACTTGATCTTTTGCACAGCCAAGGTAAGCTGTTAGAATGCAGTCCCCCCACCCCACCCTTCACCACAGAATTACAACCCCGTGCTCTTTGGGGAGGGGGAATTAAATAAATAATCATTCATATTTGAAAAGGTTTACTTGGACGTAAGTCCCAACAACAGTGGAACCTACTTCTACGTAAGTGAATTTAGGATTACAGAAATTGATAAATGAACTTTGCAGCAAAAACCATGTTACAATCATCAAAGCACTTAATTCAGAATTGCCCCATTGATCTCAAAACTGCTCCAAAATTAGCAGCTTCATAGCTGAAGTCTTCACTTATTTATTATGGCCAGGTTCCAAAGGACCACGCAACCCGTTCCATGGCACCCTAGGGAGATTTGGGCTTGGGTTTCCTGAACAGCAGTCCTTCACATGCCACACAGCAAACGTCTTTTGAACCTGAGGGCCTTTCAGAAGCAGTTTGTGATTATGGTTTGTGGGTCTCCTATTCAAAGGAAAAATGTCAGAAACCCCACTGGGCATGGCCAAACCCTGGGTATATCCAAAACTGGATTCTTGGGCCTCGGCCTGCATAATTCAGCCAATAATTGCATCTGATTATGCAGTCTTAGTTAATAATGTTAACCATATTCACCTTGTTCAGATTAAAACAGTGTACAGAACTTTGGTCTGGGAAAAGCATAGAGTAACCGCATGCATTCCTACTTGGAATATGGCTTTTCAGGGAACTGGAAACCCCTCCACCCCATCTCTTTTATTTAACACTGGCAGATTTCCACCAGACAGTGCCCATAAAAAGCAGAGGAACTGCTGCTGTAATCTATCCTTTTCCATATACTGTATAAAGAGCCCTCTGTATGTGGAAAGTATGGGTAGTCCTTTTGTGTGTGCAGAAGAGATGGATTAACAGGTCTATACCCAGTTCATGTCAGTTCCACACAACTTTGACCCACAGTTTGGAAAAGTTAGCTCTTTGGACTAGAACTCCCAGAAACACCCAGCCAAGATGGCCTTATGCAGCTACTGGGGAAGTTACATTTTTGGGACACCTACTCCTTGAATCCAGTTGTTGTGCTGGGAAGAGGGCTGTAGTGTTGCAGTTCAAAAATGTTGGCAACTTTGACTCAGTTGCAAATACATTCAGAATACTGTATTTTTCTGCCTATAAGACACTACTTTTTCCTAAAATCATTACATTAAAAATTAAGTGGTGTCTTTTACACAGAAGTAAGCTGAGATAGCTGAAGAGAGAACAAAATGGTCCGTACCTTGCCTCTGTAAACAGGCTTCAGTCAGGAGACTTAGCTTCCTCCAATCACGAGCCTTATGGAATTGATGTCAGCTGATCCTGAACAAAACAATTGGGACACACCTCCTTGGAGGTGGAGTCTGTAGGTTCAGATTCAACAGACACTCATAATGTCTGAGCATTCTGAGCCCAGAGTCTGAACCCTCAAAGCTA